GTCACGCCAGCGGGCCACTGCCATGGCAGCTGGGGGAAGAGTTGCGGAGGTGTTCTGTGGTTGCCACAGAACCTGACCCCCTATTTTTGGAGTGGCAGAGAAGGTAGGTGTTTTAGTATATTATTATTTTGGCTGCAAATCCTTTTGTAAGTTTCATAACATTTCACACTTGCTCCACTCTGGTTTTATGGTTAAACTGGCTTTGAAGGACACAGAAAAGTTTTACCATATTAATTTCTCCCTATTAAAACCATAACACAGAACAAAAATGCTTCAGCATCTTGTTAGAGATGTAAACATGGCAGGTGGACTTAGAAGGCCATTTTTAGCACAGGTTTTTTTCTGCATGGTTACATTACATTAAATGTCTTTGTCTCTTCCATCATGTTTAAGGTGGACACGTCGGGAACAAGCAGACTTTTATCGCACAGTATCTTCTTTTGGGGTAGTGTACGACCCAGAGAGGAAGACCTTCGACTGGTCCCAGTTCAGAGCACTGGCCCGACTGGAGAGGAAGACGGACGAGAGTTTGGAGCGATACTTCAACTCCTTTGTCAACATGTGCAGGACAGCCTGCAAGCTGCCCCCGAGGAAGGAAGAAGGTACAGTGCATGTTTACACAGCAGAAGTCAGCAAAGGGGAGAACATCTGGAGAAACCTTGCTAATTGAATTAACTTTGATATTGTGGGTATTTTAAACGCTGCCTTAACAGGGAGCTCGGGGTCTTCTGTTTAGTTTTGTGGCCACAGTTGGTTGGTTTTATGTTAAAACATGTTTTGAGCCACAAGGGGAGTTCTGTTGTGAGTGAACACTGGAAAAACCCGCCAGCATGGCTGAGTGGTGATGTCTCTTGATCCATGGTATTTAGAGGGTCCAGCTGCACACCTCATTTCCCTCCTGGGGAGCATTACTGACCCCTACTGGTGGGAGGAGTAGTTTAATCTTCATCAACAGCTCCTTCAGTTCAGTACGTCATCTTAAGATCCAAACTGACTGAATAGACTGTACAGAACTGTTAATGACTTTGCTAGAACATTTACCTCATATCAAGTGTGACTCTGAAATTAGGACACTGGGTTTTGCTATTGCATGTGAACATCAACATATGTTCAACAAACCCTGTACATCTGAGGAGTGAATTGCAAACTCAAAGACGGGATGGACTCTTGCACAGACAAACACCTGCTTCAGGCCTCATGCTGCCTCTGTGCTGCTACTGACTGCTTCTCTCACCTTCTGTTTCTTCTTCTCTTGCTTTGCTTTTCTGCCTCTCCCTCCTTCCCTCCGGCCTTTCCCAGGCTTGGTGGATCCCGCTGTCCTTGTCGAGCCTCTGACAGAAGAGCGAGCTGCCAGGACTTTATACCGTATCGAGCTGCTCCGCAAGATCAGAGAGCAGGTGGGTTCTTTGAAGAAACAAAGCTTCATTATTAATACTAGTTTTCACTTGCAGCTCCGACTCAGAAACTGACTTTGAAGTTTACCTGCAACACAGCAGTTGTTTGTGTTGAGTTGGGTATAAATTCATTTTGATGCGCTGATGGATGCACAGAACCTTATTCATCTCTGTTGGCTTTTTATCTGTTGCATTTTGTGTCATTAATCACTTACATCTTCACAATGTCATAAATCACTCCAAAGTTAAGCATCCATAAACCAATCTAGAAATCTTTAAATCCTGCTGGACAAAGTGATTTGTACACTGTCAGTAGTAATACGTGTGACTTCTGTCAGCGTATTCGTAGTTACAGTGCAAACAAGAACTGCTACTAGCTGCTGTAGACTCACCAAACTGTAAACAACTTGTGGTTTTTTAAAGCGCGACTCTGTCGTAGCTCACAACTAATTTGCTGGCTTTTTTTACTTGTTTGTTGCAGCATGTTGTGACAGTCCCATAAGTCTGGAAAAAAAAGCAAAGTAATCAACAAAAACAAAACAAACAGCCTGTGGTTTAACATGATTAATGAAAAATATTGCTAGACTGACAGCATGTACCGCCAGCTACTACTTTTTATTTTATTTTATTGTGAATATATTCATTAAATACCTTCATCCCATCTCTTACAGGAAACAGATCAGTCAGCAGTCTGTGGTTTTTTTAAACATAAAGTTAAAATTTGAATATGCCAGTCTTAAAAAGAATTTATTCCCTGTATCACTAAGAAGTGTTGCTACATCCTGGTATGTACTGAAGTGTGATTCAGTAATTAATAACTCTAGGCTGTATTGTCCCAACTGGTGTTCTGCCATACAAACAGGTTTTAAATGTTGGTCTGAAAAGGTCTTAAGAGTCCCGCCTCTGTAAGTTATCTTGACTAATCGTATCCTTTTCATCTGTTTTCTACTCCCACCTTGTACATCTGTGCTCTCTGAACTGCATCCTTCCTTCAGGTTCTCCGTCACCCGTTACTCTCGACCCGCCTTCAGCTGTGCCGCCCCTCCCTCTACCTCCCGGTCTGGTGGGAGACCGGCAAACACGACCGCGACCTCCTCATCGGGGCAGCACGCCACGGTTTGAGCCGCACCGACTTCTACATCCTCAACGACCCCCAGCTCAGCTTCCTGGAGGCTCACAGGAACTACGTCAGGGGACAGCCCTCTCATCTCCATCCTCCGAGCCCTCATCACCCTCAACATCCCGGCTTGGCTACTCATCCTGGCATCTCCTCCTCGTCATCATCTCATGCTCAGCTGCCTCATCCTCACTGCTGTTTGTACGACACAGGACTTGGTCGCCACTCCCCTCAGCCGCCTGAATATCCCCACCAGTCCGTTCACCACCAACATCATCACCAGCAGCACACCATGCCTCCAACAGCTCCTTCACCTTCCTCCTCCTCCTCTCATCCCCACCTCCACCCTCCACCCTTGGATGCCCATGATTCTGCCTCACCAAGTATGGGAATGGTTCCTGGTTCACGGGGAGATTTCCTTGACTGTCCTCCTTTGGATGAAACCCTGGAGCTGGGCTCGCTGCAGCATGACGCCCTGTCTGCAGATGCTTTACATGGAGGAAAGGCCTCTAAAGATGCCCTCAGTGGTTTCCCATTCAACTCAGCTGCCGGAGGTCAGAGCATGCTCAACTCGTACGGTGTAGGGGGAACAGACCTGCACTCAAAACTAAGGAGCGACGTGCTTGTTGGTGAGCAGGGCTCGTCGGAGGAGACTGGGCTGATGGCGCCATCAGTGGAGCTGGGTCAGCTACAGGTACACACTGTGCTATACATCTGTGTTCTGCCATGAAATAATACTGATCATGTTAAACCAAGTATTTGTGATCGAGTATAAAGTGTATGAACTGCATGAACTGTTTATTTTATTACTGCTCTAAAAACTGATAGCTGGAAGTTCTGATCATTTAATGGATTTGTTTGTTTACATTAAAATGTGATGTTTACCAGAACACAGCATGAAATTTCTTGTTTTTCATGATCAGTAGTCAAAAGTCCAGGCATGTTGAATGAAATATAACAATAAGAGGTACCAAATCCTGAGATTTTGGAAGCCAGGAACCAAAACTGCTTCTGAAACAACCTGAATGATCAACCATTTATCAAAATAGTTGTCAGTTAAATTTTCTGATTTGGGATTAATTTTTCAGTACTGCTCAAATTATTCACAACATTCAGTTTGTTTCATTGCTTTAAACTTCTCTTTTTCCTCATTGGTTGCTCTGCTTGTTTTTCCATCACATCCATCCACATGGTTGTGATTGATCGATCCCTCGTGTCCCCACAGGCCCCCTGGGACGGTGCGGACCACTCCAGTCCAGCTCACCACATGTTCAACGAATCTGATCCAATCCTGGGCCCTTCTGCTCTGGAGCCTGGCTTCCTGGAGGAGGATGAGGAGGAGGCACAGAGGGGAGACACAGGTGGGGAGGAAGGTGGAACTCTGGAGGAGTGTTTAGGCCTCCCACCAACATCCTCTCCTTCCCACCCCTCAGCTGGAGACTCTGTGGAGCAACTGTCCTCAAGTTATATGCTCTTCAAGGTTGGTTATAGCATCCTGTGCCATAAGGGTGACACGAGAGTGACGTTGCTTATGTCTCACAGCATTTAGGTTTATACATGTGGAAAGACGTGTCTCCTCATCTGCTCTTTCAGTAAAGAAATATCTTCCACATCAGATGTTGCTCACCTTTAACAGGCTCGTGTTACTCTGTGCATTTTTTTTTACTTAATATGCTGAACACTGACCTTCTGTCTCTAATATCTAATAGAGTTATTGTGCAGCAGGTTATGTTTTTAATTTTTAACTAATAAGAGAAAACATCAGCACTTTTGAAAGATGAGTGAGGTAGAGCTGGGTAATATGGCTGAAGCTTGGATTATTGTCGCAGAAAGGCAAATATTGCAAATGTTCATGGTATTCTTGCAGCACCTCACTGAGACTCTGTGTTGGGGTGTCTTTTGGTTTGTCACCAGTCTGTATGTGCAAAATCACAACTTATTTTGGTTTTATAAATACAATTCACTTGTAAATTCACTGTGGAGTTGATCTGATTTTGACACTTTTGGTTTATAAATCTAGGACATTGGTGAAGAACCCAGTGCAGATCAAACAGACTTGTCAGCGAGCCCCCCTCCACCCTATGTCCCCCCTCCTCCCCTCTCTCTGCCTGACATCACTGCCCCACAGCCACAGGATAGGCTGGGCCACTGTGATGTCACGGAGAGTTTGACCAATCCCGTGGAGGAGGGAGATGACCAGGAAGGAGTTGCCGGTTTTGTGTTTGATGACAAGGAGGAAGATGATGTGGAAGACTTGTCGAGGGGAGCCATGGAGCAAAGAGATCGAAGTGAAGCAGACCAAGGTACGTCCAGGAAAAAGGTTTTTAAAGTGCCTTTAACTGATTGTACAACACTGAGTCAAGATTTAGCTACTGATCACATGAATCCAAGTCCTGCTCCATATCGTTCGTTTTATTTTTATCTAATTTTCCTAATAGAATTATACCATCACTGTAGTCTTTACAGGAAGTGGCTTGAACTTGCTTTGCATAGGCCCTTACACCGTGGTTTAGTCTTCTTTCATAAGCTTTACCTCACCCCTTGATGTTTTATGCTCTCACAGGTGTAGACCATGCTTTGGGAGTTTTGAATCCAGACATGGAACAGATCGATGGGATAGAGTCAGAGCCGGACCTGGGAGATCAGGACGATAGGATGGAGGTCTCAGACCAACTGTCTCATAGCCTTCAGGAGAGCTTCGAGGAGGCTCAGCATACAACAGACTTGCCCCAAGCTGTGCATCCTTATCTTGGGAAGCTCGCGCAGTGTCCTGAGTCTATTGAAGAACCAGGGGACGAGGTGCACGGGTTGATTCTGTATCAGACAGTTGAGGAAGACTCTATGGAAAACTCTATTGAGCCTGGACCTTTGCTGGGGAACGCGTCTGGAGAATTTCTGCAAGAGAGGGAAGTTACAGAAAACTCCCGAGTGGATGGTGCGGTGCACCATGTGGGCCTTGCAGATCAAGTGGATGAGATCTCAGAAGGGAATGTGGATCTAATGGATGTTCCACTCGTCCCACGCTGTAATGAAATGGCTGAAAAGGCAGTGAAACAGCTGAACACCAAACCCTGTGAGATGGAGCTGGACCGCATGTACTCAGAATGCACACAGCCCTCCTGCCCCCCTACATCCCTGTCATCACCTGCAGTAGCATCACAGTCAGATGAGAGCAGTGCCAAAGCTGGAGTCAAAACTGAAGTCTCCACTGATCAGGACAACTATGTAGGCACAGTTGAAGATGGTAGGAATAGAGCCCTGATGTTCTCCCTCGATCAGGATAACAAAGACAGTCTCCTTGAACAAAATGAAATGAAAATTGCCCGTACACCACCTGCACATGACACAAAGCCATCTGACCTGAAATTTTCTCTCTTGTCAGACGGTGGTGGTGAGAAGAAGCCAGAGCAATTGGAGCTACCAATCAAGGTAGAGGAGACAAAGACAGAGGCTGCTGAGGAAGCATTGCCCATCTACCCAGACAGCTCTGAAGTCAAACATGCAAAATTCCTTTCTTACCCTGTGAAGTCAGAAAACTTCATGACTAAAACGGAGCAGCTGGACTTTTCTGTCAAACAAGAAACACTGGAGAGCAAACCTGAAGATCTAAGCCTTCCCATGAAGCCTGAGAGCTTAGACAGTAAACCCGAACTTCTCCAGTTTACAGCCTACGCAGATGGCATCAAACCTGAAGCCAAACCAGTAGCTCTCGGGCTGGCTGCTTATCCAGATGAAGCCAAGCTTAAGACCGAGACAAAGCAGGAAGGTTTAAGGTTAACTGCTTTCGCCGAATCTTCTGCCATCAAGCCTGAAGCCAAGCCAGAGGGTTTGGAGTTCACGACTTACCCCGACAGCTCTGAGATCAAACTCGAGGCCAAGCCAGAGGGCCTGGAGTTTCCAGTTTTACCTGAGATCAAAGCTGAGACCAAGCAGGAGCTGCTGGAGGCGGACAGTACAGTTCTGACCCCGAAGCTTGAGCAGGCAGACGGGCTGGTGTGCACCTCTGAGAGCATGGTGGGGAAAGGCCATGTGAAGGAGGAGAGGCCTAGTACACCAGGTAGAAATACAGACATAATGTAGTAATTTACAACTTCAGAATGGGTTTTATAGGTTAAGAGCCTTTGGAGCTGCAAATAATGATTGTCTTCATTATGATGCATCTCTTGATTAATCATTGAATCTGTTGTTTAGCCTATAAAACATCAGAAAATAATGACTGACTTCCTCCATAGTGCCGGTGGAAGGTTACGCCAGCAGCCCCAGGTTTGCTGCTCCTGTTTCTATGTGTGAGATTCCCGACAGCCTCCATGACACCAAGGAACCAACCATCGCTCAGCTGTTACAGGAGAAAGCACTTTACTCATTTTCTGAGTGGCCCAAGGTACATTTATTCTTCCCAACAAAACTCAGTATGTGATAAGCTAATCATGAGCTCTTTCATTTAAAATACCCTTCTTTTCCTTTAGTGTAGTGTAAATAAGGGGCATTGATATCGGTTTTTACTGATCTTCAGACAGAAATACCTATTTTGTGTGATTTCCACCTAGATATTGTGTAACCATGCACCCTTGTTGCTGTTGTTTGCTGCCAGAAGACAGCGATAGCAGTAGTTTACAGTGAACACTGTGCTCTGCTCCTCTGCCTGCAGTAATAAGAGAAACACTTGACAATGCAAATGAGCTGCTGACTGTTCAGTCTCTCAACGTAAATATAAAAACCAAGAAAGCAGTTAAACTACAGAGTGATTCTGTTTTCACAGATTTCAGAGGATTCACTATATTTTAATGCTGTTTTCATCTCTTTCTTTTGTTGTTCATTTAAGCTTCTCGTGTTTTTGTGGCACATTTATTTCTCGCTCTGTGTCAATCTCAGTTTCTTTGTTAAGCAGGAAT